GGGAGGGAGGGAACTATCTGGTCTCAATAAAAATGAGACAACTACAAAGATTAAAAACTGTTTAAAGAAAGCATGTGGGGACCAGCAAATTGGCTCAGCAGGTAAGGGTACTTGCTGCCAAGCCTGACAACCAGAACGGCAGAAAGAGAGCTGACTTCCACAAGTTTTCTGCTGACCTCGAGATGTGTGCCTCATTTCACAGTCTTTCTTTTTTTTCTTTTCCTTAAGATATTTTGTTCTTTAATTGTCAAGTGTATGTATGTTTTGCCTGCATGTATGTCTGTGCACCATGGGCAGGCAGGGCCTGTGAAGACCAGAAGATAACTTCAGATCCTGAGGGACTGGAGTTGAAGACAGTTGTGAGTCACCATGTGGGTGCTTGAAATTGAACCCAGGTCCTCTGGAAGAGCAGCCAGTGATCTTAACCACTGAGTCATCATCTCTCCAAACCCTCTACCTCAGCTTTTAGCTTTTAGTGTCATATCTTCAGAACTGGACCAGCTACCTAGTCACTGTCACGCTGCCACAGTTTAATTCCTCACCTGACACTGAAACAGGCTTCTTGCCCACTGTTCAGCTGGAGTCCACTGCGCTCTCCTGTACAAGCTGGGAAACCCTGTCTGTCCTCCTTCTCCCAACCCCACCCACATTGAAAACCTGAAGAAAGGAAAAGCTCAGTACTGCATTCCTGGCAGCCAATGCAGCCCACCATTCTGATACAGCCAACCTGCCTAAGTGCTTGCCCAGGTGCCCAGCTTCTGACCATAGCTGGGCACAGTCCCAGTTCCTGGCTTACACGCTGAAGATAAAACCTCCTTGCCTTAGCCAGGGTTCAAGACTTCCCTAGCCCCGTTCTTTGGGACAGATGAACCTGCCCAGGAGCAACACCTAATAAATCTGAACTTACCTACTTTTAATCTGGTCTGATCTGGTCTATATTAATGTCACCCAGAGGAAAGAAAATATCTAATATTCACAGAAACTGTACAAGGCAGGGATATCCTGATTTCTACCTGCTCCGAGCCCTCATGACACTTAAGAACCAGTCATTACTGAGTTTCTGTTTTGCAAACGCTATTTTCCTCTTTGTTTGAACTGTAACCTATCTAAAACTCTTTCAGCTGGTACAACCAACACAAGAAACAGTCTGCAGTGGTACCTGTAGACAGAGTGAATTACAAGACAGCAGGAACAGAAGATATCAACTCAAACAAACAAAAGTATAATCCAAGTTGTAGAAAAAAATGCATTTTTTTCCACAAATACTCTGAGCACCAAATATCAGAAAGGCACTGATTCCTAGAGACACAAGAAACTGTAGAGTTTCAGATAGAGTTTATATTATAAAGAACAATCTCAATCTCTCACTTGAGGCTATAGTGATTTGGAGGGTATGCTAGAATCCCAGACACTAACTTCAAAAGGCTCAACTATGCCAACTCCTTACTGCTCAGTGTTTAAGTCAACAGTGTGCTCTAAGTAACAGCAGAAAAAAGATGAAATTTCTCAAAGATTATCTCATAGGTATACATAGGCCTATAATTCCAGCACTCAGAAGCTGAGACTGAAAGATTGTTAAATTCAAGGTCAGCCTGAGACCCAGTTTCAGAAACATGCTCCACCCCTACAAAGGGAGGGAGGGAGGGAGGGAGGGAGAAGATGACCTAATGAGTACCTAAAGCTGCATTAAGATGACACAGGGTAAGCAAAACAGGATGAGCTAGTGAGGGACTACGTCTCTGTCTGTGTAAGAATTCCAAAAGCTGACAGTAGGAGACATATCAGAATACAGATGGAGGGGCTGTTGTAGAGGAAAAACTCCTATAACCTGAATACAGGAAGGACATCAGAGATGATGTGGGGAGAGTCACCTAGAGCTAAGGTCATCACATCTGAAGTCGAATCTACACAAACTGACTTAAAGTGCAGCCTCCAGATTCCCCCATCCCACATGGTGGCGTTTTCTAAACAGAGATTGTTCTTAGACTGAGCAGCTCACCCTTCTGAATGTGCCCTGTCATGATTATTGTCTTGCCATCGGGTAAGCTTGGCACTGCCTCAAACTGGGCCCAAATGGGGCTGACCATTCTGGAAGAGAAGCTCCTCTACACAAGGGGCCAGAAATGTTCTGACTTCTCCAAAATTCCCTTTCCAAACAGCTGCTGCTGATTTACTGAACTTTTTACTTATAGAACAGACATCAAGCAGGTTGGTTTTTTTGTGTGTTATTTTGTTTTGACTTTCTGTGCAACCTGTAATTTGGACTACATCATCTCTGAAACAGAAGTAATTTCAAACTCTGGGAACCTAGGCCAGTGTGCCTCAGTCCCATTCTACTGTGTATATTCTTGAAGTCCACAAGTGCCTGAAGCCTCTGTTCTAACTCAAGATGCTGGGCTAGGAAAGAGTAAGAGAGAGAGAGAGAGAGAGAGAGAGAGAGAGAGAGAGAGAGAGAGAGAGAGAGAGAGAGAGAGAGAGCGCGCGAGCGCATTCCTTGCCTTGCAAACATGAGGACTTGAGTTTTACTCTAGAACCCACTTACAAAAGCCAGGTATGTTTGCAATCTAAGTCCTAAGACGGCAGAGACAGGAGGGTTCCTGGGGCTCACCTGCCAGGCAATCCTGACTAATTGGTGAATGTTGGACCAAAGAGAGATGCTATCTCAAAGGAGGTAGATGTCTTTCATGAGCATCACACCCAAGGTTGATCCCTGATCTTCACACATTCTCACACCACACACACATCTGATGTGTACATGTGCATACACATAGTACACAGTATATTTAAAAAATGTTGCCAACACTTTTCAAAGTGCCATGAGAGTTGTGAAGACATATTATTTTTAATTTTGTATTTATTTTATGTGTATGGGTACTTTGTAAGTATGTCTATGAGTCACTTGCATGCCTGGTACCCTTGGAAGCCAGAAGAGAGTACTGGATGCCTCAGAACTGGAGGTACAGACAGTTGGATTTGTTTGTTTTCTTTTGTTTAAGATGTCTCTCACAATGTAGCGCTGACTGTCCTGGAACTCTCATGTAGAACAGGCTGGCCTTGAACTCAGAGATCCTGCTGTCTCTGCCTCCCAATTACTGATAATAAAGGCCAGCACCATCACTTCTGAATATGGTTAGAGACAGTTGTACGCCACCATATGAGTGCTATGAATCAAACCAGGATCTTCTGGAAGAGGAGTCAGTGCTCTTAACAACCGAGCCTTCTCTTCAACCCAACATACTACTTTTAATAGGCAAAAATAATATGTGAGGGAGAAAGCAGAATAGGGAATAGAGTAGAGCTGTACAGTGTTTCTGTCTATAAAATCACATGAAGACAGGAAGCTAGCCAGAGGCAACCTCCTCCAGTATGTAAAGACCCAGAAAAGCCTTGACTCTGCACTAGATCTACACACATTTGTGTTTGTGTAAAGACATTATTTAACTCACAGCATTGCCAAACATCAGATAAGACACTCAGTAAAAAAGTGCACTTACCAAAACGACATTAAGCAATTATTCCAGCATCTCCTCAATGAAAAGTAGGAAACTAGTTGTGCTCCTTGGTTGTGTTTTTTTGTTTGTTTGTTTGTTTTTTATCAATTGTCAACTTGAAACAAACTAGAGTCTGTTGGGAAGTGGAAACCTAAACTGAGAAGATACCTCCATCAAATTGCCTAAGGCAAGTCTATGAGGCATGTTCTTAGTTAATGATTGATGTGGAAAGGCCAAGCTATCTCTGGGCAAGTGATCCTGGATGGTTTAAGGCAGCAAGATGAGAAAGCCATAGGAGCTAGCCAGTAAGCAGTATTCTTCAACAGTCTCTGCTTCCATTTCTGCCCCCAGGTTGCTGCTTGGAGTTCCTATCCTGGCTTCCTTCATGATGGACTGGAAGCTAACATTGAGCCCTTTCCTCACCAAGCTCCTCTGGCCATGGTCTTTTATCACAGTAATAGAAAGTAAAAGGACACTAGCTACTGTGAGTATTCTTATAAGTGAAATGACATCTTTCTTCACAACTGTCTACAACTTCATCAAAGCCAGCTCTACTTTCTTAGTCACATTAATCATGTATATGAGAGGAAGAAACTATACCTGGTATGTACTGACTGTGGCCTAGAATCTATGTGTAATTAATTTAGGCTCCTGGGAAATGTGAGGCACGCCTCACATCCTGCTGGGTCAGGTTCAAGGTCTTTCCTGGTTGGTTCTTCAGTCTTCTGGAGTTTTCAGATTTCAATGTGAACTATGTTTTGCTTTCTGTTTCATACTCTGATCCTCCCAATGTCTAGGTGATCAGCTCTCCTTTTTGTTTTTGTAATAGGTTGATATTTTAACTGTTAAATTTTTCCTAAAAGGTATTGGAAACACCAATCTCTTTATCAACTGTAAGTAAGAACCTTAACTATTTTCACTTATGTTTAAGAAAGTATTTCCTATAAATTATGTTAAATAATGGTGGATACATTGCTGAACTTGCTGGAAATACTATCAGAATTTTTTATATAAGTAATTCAACGACATCACTCAAGACAGACAACAATAACTGATCCCCGAAAGCCAAGACTGCTCTTCACTCCAATTGATGAAATAAAAGCAAATGGTAAGGACCATGGCTCCCCGTATCTCAGAGTGCTCCAGCTCTGTGAAGGCAGTACATTCACCTTTAAGTAGTACACCAGGAGTTCATTCAGAGCTGGGTCAGCATTCAAGTTAACCAGGAAGCACTTGTCATCCCCAACTTTGATTCCAGAAGTCTGAAGAGATATGCCAAGGCTCTCAAGCTGCTTCTGCCGCTCCTGCAAACACACCAGAGAAGTCATGATTCCTGGCACAGAGATAGCAAGACACAGAGGATCTGACAGCACCAGAAAACTATCCCAGATCTATATCCTTCAATGTTACCTGCAAATAAAGCATTCTTGAGAAATGTAAAGATGATCATATTTTTCTCTTCTTTCCAAAATGTATAAAACAGTTTGCTAGAGTGACGCTCTGAACACCTCTATGAAGCTCACAGGCCCTTCAAGCTGCCCCGTCTTCTCCTTCACATCTTATCACACTCACTTTCCTGCCTGTGCCACCCACCAGGAGTTACTCAGAATTTAATGCCTCCTCTCATGTCACTGACATCAGAGTCACTGACCAGGTCCACAACAGAGTAAACTTAAAACATAAAAATAAATTTAGAAGTTAAAAATTAGGGCTTGGCAAAAATAGACATCTGTATCCAACCCCTCCCCACAAGGGTTGGGGTCCATCACAGAAGAAGAGACAGAAAGACTGTAAGAGCCAGGGGTTGGGAAGAAGTAAGGAGAAACAGTGTCCTTGTCATGGAAGAACCACTATAGTCCTGAATTCACTGGAGCAATGGTTGACTCCATACAAGACTAACATTCCAGAATAGAGGCTGTAGGGGCTCAGGAGTCCCTACCCTAAATTAGTGACAGCTGATGGCTGCTGAGGGATAGAAAGTCAGTTTTCTGAAAGGGTACGGTGACGGTTAGGTCACCATGCCCCAGTGAATGCTCACACATCTAACAGTATGTGAACAACAGAGTTAGGGGGAGAGAGTGGGAAGTGCCTATGATCAAAACACATGGGGTCTCAAGTTCAATCTCCTGCACAAAACTAATAATTTCTCCCACCAGAAACAAGCTACTGAAGCTATGAACTCTTACCTTCAGACTGACTGTCTTAAGCACAGCCCTAGGAGATCTACAGACCCCCTACCCAAGTCCCACAGCCAAATACCCCAAACACAAACCTGTGCAATCTCCTCAGTTTTCCTTAGTTTCTCCTCCCAGGTCACAGTCATTTCCTGTATGAGTTTCTCAGATTCTTCCAGACGATCTTTCAGCTCTGGAGATTTCATTGCCTAAAAACAAAATGTTACCTCATGAAATAACTGCGCAGTGCCAGAAAAGAACACCAGCTGGCTGTGAAAGGACAGAGGCCGTCACCTGCCCGAGTGCTCCACCTACCTACAGCAAGGTGGTGGTCCTCAAGGTCCACAGCACCTTTCCACAGGACTACAGACCTACTGAGTCAACTCTGGCACATTCAGAAGGACGACGTTCCTCCAACCTACAGTGAGGATGTCGCTATAAGGAGCTAGGTGTTCCACGCTATTCATAGAGGACTCATGATTTTCATTTCAATAGGTTGGACACCTAGACTCAAAAGCATGTTTCATCTCAATCTTTTTCTAATATTGATTTCAAGAATTTACTCAAAGCTATGTAAGATAGATGTGAGCATGTTGCAAACTGGACAGTGTTAATAACACTTGGTCTTAAGACAGAGAAACAACCAGATGGTGACATAAAGAAAGGAAATTAAAAAACCTCAGCCCCAACAATTTTAAAGAACTGTAAAATCAGGATAAAAAAAAAAAAAACTGAAACATGATTACAGTAACTGCTGTGACCATGCCAAAGCTTCTTGCCATAACGAGTAATGGGACAGGAAAGGGCTATGGTGCCAGCTCCACGGACAAATCCCTGGGACAGAAACACTAACCACAGCAGGAGCCCTGAGCATGACATTTCATGCTTACACTGTGATCTCCAAACCTTGTTACAGAACCTAAGTTCTCCTGCTGCAGAATGAACACTGCAAGGCTTTGGTGACTTCTCTACTTTGTCCTGAGTTTACAGTGTTGCTCTACAAACATAACACATCCACAACAGGAAGGGTGAGTTATAAAGGAGGGGATGTCTTCTGTTCTGACTGCAGGCTAACAAATGAGGGGGTAAATCTAACTCCCTTCCCATGACTGAAAACACAGTCAGTTTCTGCACAAAATTAAATCGCATACTTTGTCCCTACTGTTTCTCTTTCTCCCTTCATATTCTAGTCTATCAGCCTTCTGAACAAAAAGGGGAAGAAAGATTCTTCCTACTCCATTTATTCTCTCCTATGCAATCTTTTTCAACAGCCATTTAAAAAATGTTCCTACAGAGTACTGCTCAAGAAAAGAACAGAATTGGGGAAGAAACTTCACACAGCAGCTTGGCAAGACGGGCCTCAGGGACAAGGCCTGTCCAGCTGTGCCTCATACCTCTGCCTTGGTCAGCTGCTCACGGAGCTTCTCCACCTCTTCCCGGAGATCTCGGATAATCCGAGCATTCGGATCCTCATTCACCACAGCATGGTTGACAATGTGCTTTGCTCGATCTGCATACCTCAGGGTTGACAGGGTTTCATCGTAGTTATCAGCAGCTGGGCTCACAGTGGCCACCATGGCGGTCTTGCTATTACCTCCCAGACTGTCCTACCAGGAAGAAAACAGTGAGGAGTCTTTTAAGTTGGAAGAAGACATCACATAAGAAAGCTAAAATCCGCCGGGCGGTGGTGGCGCACGCCTTTAATCCCAGCACTTGGGAGGCAGAGGCAGGCGGATTTCTGAGTTCGAGGCCAACCTGGTCTACAGAGTGAGTCCCAGGACAGCCAGGACTACATAGAGAAACCCTGTCTCGAAAAACCAAAAAAAAAAAAAAAAAAAAAAAAAAAAAAAAAGAAAGCTAAAATCCGAAAGAATAAAACAGCCCAAAATCAAATACATGTAAAGACAAAATAGGGGCTCACATGCAGACCCTCATGAGGCTCAACGCTGAACTGTCTATTCTCTGCCAATTACTTTTTTTCTTTTCTTTTTTTGGGAGGAGGGGATGGCAGGGGTCAGGGTTTGAGACAGGGTTTCTCTGTGTATTCCTGGCTGTCCGGGAACTCTCTCTATAGACCATGTTGGCATCAATCTCAGAGATCTGCCAGCCTCTGCTTCCCGAGTGCTGGAACTAAAAGCATCTCTATGCCCAGCTCTAATTACTTTTCTTAACAAACAAAAAGAACCCCAAACAACCAATCCTTTAATTGTTTTTCCAAGAAAGCTAGGAAAACTCAACAGATTACATTCATTTTTAAGTAAAAATTAATCCAAAGATAGTATATCCCATTTAATAGGCAATGCGATACCATTTTGAGCAGTTTTGCTCAGAATGAAAAGACTTCAGTGGGGCTGGAGAGATGGCTTAGTGGTTAAGAGCAGTGACTATTCTTTCAGAGGTCCTGAGTTCAAGTCCTAGCAACCACATGGTGGCTCACAACCATCTGTAATGAGATCCAATGCCCTCTTATGGTGTGTCTGAAGACAGCAACAGTGTACTCATATAAATAAAATATTAAAAAAAAAAAGACTTCAATGGCTAGCCCACCTCAGAGGAACTGGACACTCACAGTGTCAGCTCCTTCAGGGAATTCCGTAGTGCTAGGGATGGAACCCAGGGCTCCCGCGCCCAGCATGTAGGCAAGTACTGTGCCACTGAGCCACACTCCCAGCCCCAAGGAGGCTCACCTAAGGGATGATTAGAGCCCTCTATACCAAAATCTGAGAAGTCCACTGTCTTCCCTCTGCTAGCATTCTAGAAACTAAGATAGCTATTCACCTGCAGGTCCAGTAACTGTACACTTGCGGAGCACACATGCCCAGGTTACATATATCTCAAGAAAAAGGGAAACCCTCTGCTGGTCCCTTCCCTCAGAACCCCTCTCCAAGCTGAGGCTGGTCCTTGGAAACCCTCAAAAACATTAAAATCATCAAATCAACTCCCACTCCACTGACCATGCAAAAGATACTGAAGGTCACTCCATTTCAGCAGTCCCTCAGCCATCACGGCCTCCTGAGTCCTAACTAGTACTGGTTCTTCCCTTGGGTAGTCAGCATTTATAGACTGGCCTCTAACTGGCAATACAGCAAAGGTGACAGAGGTGATGGCATGTCACTTCTGAGATAAGATTAAAAGCAGGTGATGCACTGTTGAGGGTACTCCCTCTTGCTCTCAGGAGGATCATCAAGGTGGCCCTATGAAGAGATCCACAGGACTGAAAATAGAAAGAAGCAGGTCCTTGAGTTCTGTCTATCATCATGGAAGTGAGCAACACTCTCACTCCTGATTCAGGGCTCCAGATGATTACAGCCTTGGCTTATACTTAAACTACAGCTCATAGGGCCCTAGCTCCAAGTACCTAAGACTGCCAGTGGAGTAAGGTGTTACAGGTCAGTAGATAACTGCAGGCATTACTATACCATACAAGCCTTGGGAGCATTAAAAAAAAACTAAACTATATAAAAGACTCAGAACTGGGGTGATGGTTCAGTCAGTGGGGAAAGCATGTGCCACACAAGCACTGGGATCAGAACAAATTTTCAGCACTCATGTAAAAGCCAAGTGGACAGCAGCCTATCTATAGTCCCAGAGCATGGGATGAAAAGCCAGGGCTCCCTGAAGAAAAACAGCTAAACAAGCTAAATCAGTAAGTTCTGGGTTCACGTGAGAGACCCTGTCCTGTCAGGTGCCATAATAGGACAAGCTAATAATTAGCAGTTGATCATCCTGAAATGCTTGCCTCAGATTATTATATAATCTGAGACAAGTGTGCCCCATCAGCAAGGCTGTGGCTGGACATATTTTAGGAAAGATCCTGCTATTAATACGCTTTTCCTATGATTATTATTATTATTAAACATACATCACAATTACTAAGCAATAACACATCCCTTTGGAGCAGATCTCTTCAGACCCACGAAGATGTACTGTCTTGTAGTGATGCTATATAGACAAATAGATGACTTCTTAAGTCTTAATGATGATCCTATAAGAATTCCTAAAATTATATCAATGATTATTTAGCTCTTTTTATAGTGGGACTGGTATTACGTCCCTTTCTGATAGTCAGAACTGCTATGAGAACTCTGCCAGTCTCCCAAGTGTCATCAGTTAACAGCACTTAGATAGTAACCAGACTCTCTCCTGCTGAGAGCACATTCCAAGGTGGTTGTAAAACAACCAAAGGTCACTAAAAGGGAACTCATGATTTATTATAGATGCTAGGACAGAAGAAAAAATATTGCCTGGGTTTATCTATACAAAACTTCACTAATTTCTTAGTTATAGTTTTAAACCTTCAGTGAACCTGTGGAGCTAGACAGGTGATGGATGTTTAGTCAGATAATTATTCCTAATGGATATGCATGTAAACATTCTCTGTTGTAAACTTCTGTTTCAATTTATGATTTGAATTTTGGTGTGAACCTGTGATGAACTTTGTAACATGTGATCAGGTACTCCGAATGATGTATAAGACAAAGGGACGTTCGTTAGCGGTCACTTCACTTCACTTTCTCTCTCTCTCTCTCACTTCCTCTCTCTCTCTCTCTCTCTCTCTCTCTCTCTCTCTCTCTCTCTCCCTCCCTCCCTCCCTCCCTCCCTCCCTCCCTCCCTCCCTCCCTC